AATATATAAAATTGGAAAGGCAATTTGAATTTGAATCTGGGCTGATTACTTTGGAGCAAAGTGCTCGAGTAATTTTTGAATTTTCAGCGATGAAGGAGTGCATGGCACTTCATGAAAGACATGAGCTGTATGAGCATCACATGCAGCATCCAACAAAAAGTATTCTGAGCTCGCTTTATGGGCGAAGGAATCATTTAATCTCCCTCTGGTCCAACTAAATCTACCATTGGGCTTGCGTTGAAGAGGAACACGAACGAAAGAAAGGGTTGTCAACTGCTGGAATCGCACTGGCATTTTGGACAATGAATTGTCCATGTTCACATCAAACGGTCTGTAATGAATTTGAATTGATTGGTTTTCAAAGTCTGTGCAACAATTTATACCTCTATATTTGGATGTATTGCGATAATTGCATAAAATGAACCGTTTGACTTAAGCGAGGGAAATCAGTAGTAGTATATGACCAGGGGGTTGTTATTTGCACATTTTTTGTGTGCCCCTTCAGCGAGCTGGATCATCGACGGCTACACCAAGTCTTGAATGGAGGGCCATGGGCAAGAACTGAAACTTGTTTGTGGCATTTTCGTTGCACTTCGCATTATTCAGCGAACGGACCATTCAGTTGGTGATGCCAGCGACAACGTTGTAGCCACTTACCGCATATCAACCGTGAGGACTGCTTAAAAGGTGGAGCAGATTCACACACAATTGACACATGCAGGGCGTCGCGGGACGTGGAAGCTCGTTCGATGGGTCTTATCGGTTTGACTTGCCTTGGCCAGCCGTGCTCAAAGGCCAGGCCCAGGTTCTCTGGTTCCATCGAAGACACAATTGGCAGTCGAACAGGACAAGCGATGCAATTGATCCACGATCGCCTTGGATTAAACAACGTTATCTTCTTTGACGCCGCGGCAGAGGCTAGTGAGGCCAGCGACAAGCACCTGCATACACACACGTGCATTTAGAGCGACCGAATCCATGCAAAGTTCACACGTACAACGAGGAAGACGAGGGTCAACACGACAAAGTACGGAATGAACACGACGACTGTGGCCAATTCGCCCCAGTTGAGCTTGTACATGAGCAGCAAGAACGGAGAGAATGTCGCTACAGCCAAGACGAACGAAGAGATCGCGCCAACGACGGGCCAAAACAATGAAGGAGGCTGTTCGTCGTCGATCGAAGCCTGTGCCATCGAGTACTTCGTCGCTGCGTACACACCCAAAGGCTAGGAGTAGAGCAAACTTAGACATAGAACGCCTCCGTTTGGAACATACCGCGAGGACGACCCCAACGACGACCCCAATCCAGTAGGGAAAAAAAACACCGTTCCAGCTCCACGAGAGCGTGCCGTCGAGCTTCGTGGCAATCAACACGACTTGGCCAACGTTCGCAAAGGCAGCGCAGTTGCCTTGCATCAGCGCAACAAGGTAGTATGGCGTCATGAGCGCCACCCAGTGCCACGTGATGGAGCCTTCCAACTTGAGACAGACAAATACTTCGGTCAGGATGTACATGAGCACGACGAAGACGTTGAAGCTACGTATCACATATGATCGTAAGTTGTGCAAAAGGAAATTGTCAAGTGACGCACGTACATGCGGTTCTCAGGCTTGGTTTCGACGGTTGTTGTCGCATCGACTTCAACGACTTCAGTCTGGGTGGACGTGTCGGTAGTTGTGTGTACGTCGACATTAGTGACGTCAACCGAGTCGTCAAAGTGATCTTCGCGGTCAACAGGGGCAATTCCTTTCATGAAGCACGTTGCGTACAACCACAAGGCATTAAAAATCCACAACGGCAAGAGCACCATCCACCACGACCACGTCACAATGCCATCGATTTTGAAGTAGACGAGGACTAATCGGTAAAATCAGTTCAGTGCTTTGAATGAAACAGATAAACAAGACGTACGAGGCCCGAGAAAGAGCGGTACCGCGATGATGAGCACAACTAACGAGTACACAAAGGAGCCCGTGAACGTGTCGGCTGGGTCGACGCCAACCGTCGTGAGCACAACTTCGACATGCTTGTTCACGTTCGCCTGGTTGGTGTTCTCCGCCAAAGACGACATCTGTCGTACGATCGGCACGGTAGACGCACGCTGCGGCGGCGCTTTTGCCAGGAGGGCTTGCGATTCCTCTTGCATGTTCTGTCGTGAACTGCGCGAAAAAATGTGAAGTGACGACAGTGGAAGTGCTTCGCACATCTTAGTAATCTGATGTACTAAATGGGTACTGCTCGTTGGAAACTGTACGATTGTAAGCAATCATTAGTAGTACTAAATATGGAAAGTTCATTGACAATTGACCACGATGTAGTCTCGGACGACTAGGACACGGCAAACACATCGCGCAACCAGCGACGCGCCGTGAATAGAGTGAGCTGCACCACTTGCCATGGCGCCGCATCGTCTGATCATATCTTTCCGGGATCATGCATCGGAAGGTGCGCCGTGGGCAAGTATCAAACTTGATGTGCTTCTGGCAATGAGTGAAACACACCACAGGTTACTGGTACAGTACGAGACGAAGTATCAGCCCTCAAACACCAGAAGTGCTCTAGAGTGTACTGAAACTCTAACGCTCCTAGATCGGTTGTCTAAGCAACCACATAACGAAGGCTTGAGTTTGAGTTGCGCAGCACAGTTGCTCATACTCAAGAGGATGCTTGGTGTGAACTCGCCCAATTCTTAAGGCTGGAGCTCATTTCTCGGAGCAGCGCGCCAGATATGGAATCGCACGGTCAATGTATTCGGCTTGCTGTGTCGTATGGACGGCAAGGGTTTCATGAACATATTGGTGCCGACTTCAATTCCATTGAGGTTCAATTTCCTATGTTTATCGTCTGCATGGTGGCAAACAGTACTGAATTGCTGCAGCAGTTCGAGTCAGCATGTGATCTCCAAGTGCCATTGCTTGACGAATTTTTTGTTGTTGGAGCAATTTTCGGAAAATTCCTCCTCTAATATGCGGTAAGCTGTACTTTACGTACCTGTACGATAATACTAGTACTCCAGAGTACGTAGTACAAGCGTGTGTGGGTTATCCGGAAATTCGGTTACGTGCGCGCCAAAAAATTCAATTGCTTGTCAAGCAAGAGATGGAACTCCAGGCTTTGGCAGAGAAACATGGCGGGCTATCGGCGGCGGTTGTCGGGAAGGCGAAGGAATATCTCCGTTTGCTCGAATTGAAGCTTCAAGGGGTATGGATGCGATGCACGCGTGGACGTCGTAAATGTCTAAAGTGACTCCGCACTATGATGTAGGGAGGGCAATCCATCCCAATGCTGGGCCGACCGGCTGCGTGCCTGGAGCTTGCATGTGAAGTACTTCAGGAACCTGTTGATAGCCGAAAGCTGTATTTGCTGTCAGGGGGCACGAGTTTGGGCAAGCACAAACAATGTGTGCGCAACATCAGCAGTATCTTGCGCCTTCAAACCACGGCCACCATCACAACATCGTCTTTATGTGTCAAGTTTGGATGCCCTGCACTCAAAGACTACGTCGCTTCCGTGCATGATGAGTATAAGGTAGCCTTTAAACCATCCTTTCTATGGTGTGACCCAATCTTTGTGGACACGCAGCATCGAATGATGGCCAAGTTGACCTCGTCACAGCAGCGTCATGTCGACGTGACGCGGCCTCTGTTTCCCGCCGCCGTATTTTATGCATGCGCGGTCAAAACCAATGTACGTGTCGTAGTTTCAAGTGAAAATCATGCTTTCATGTGGTGTGAGTAGTGCCGGGTGGACAAGAACCAGCTTCTTCAGCTCACCATGTCCCAGCCCAAAGAGTTTGCGAGTGTGGTGTCGTCCATCGAGGTGCGTGCATGTCGAATCATTCCCTACTTCACGCACTCCCTTGATGTCATTAACCCTAGAAATTGTGTGAGCATGCGTTGACTACATACGTTCCTTCCTCGTCCACGGAAATGAGACGTCACGGTATGCCGTGACCTCATCATGCATGGTTGATGATAAAATGGATGCAGGTCGAAAGCGAAAGCTCAGGGAGGCCGACGTGTCCGAGTCGACGCCACAGGAAATGGACAATGCGGTGAAGGGTTCCAACATGGCATCGACGCCGTCCAACACAAGATCGTTGGATCACATCAAACGATTGATTCAGCAACACACGAAACTTGCCATGGGTATGGATTTTTCTTCGTTTGTCTCCAGGAGCGCTCGTGAGACATCATCCATGCGAGTAGCTTCTCCACAGCCGACGACTCCTTCTCCAGAACCAACATTGCCCGTCCAAGAGGCAAAAGAAGCACCTTGTCCAGCATCGTACGCCGACTGGAAGCTGAAAATCCTGGCAGCTCGTTCCAAAGCGCCTGTGGCTCGTTCATCCTCTGCGGAATGACCAACATGTAAGATGTGGTTGACGAAGCTCCAGGCAATACAATATCCTGTTGGTTTCTCCGGCTTCTATACGTCGTGGGCATGTGTGGGTGACCATTTCCCGACGTTTTTTTGAGCCTGCGTAATCACGCCCATTGCCGCTGCCACGTTTGAAAGACTGAAAACGGGGATTACCCCCTGGAAAAGCGCTCGATGCAGCGCCAAGTCGCCGTCTCGGTTCTGATGAGGCAGTATCCCATGCTGGCGGCGCACTAGAGATTGCACCCGAAGGAGCGTGTGCATTACGCCTGTGGGCTTTCGTCGTCCATGCTTTTCTCATATCCTGCAGCCACGGCCCCTTGTTGCCGCTGAACACTCCGCCGATGACGATGACTGGGGTGGAGCTTGGAGGAATCCGTCAAAGCATCCCGCGCAACCGACAAGTCAATGAAAACCATGAACATTGAGCAGCGCGGCGACGCCAAGCCGTGACGGTCCGGCCTATTCAACGCTTCCTGGTAACTCTGAGGTATATCGCACACAGATCGCAATGATGATTCGACTCATCGGTGTGGTACAGCTGCAACGTGATGTATACAATGGTGGAATTCGGCTGACAGCATTGGAAGAACGGCAATGGATGTGCGGCGAGAGAAATTCGCGCAGATTGCGAAAGGCAAGAGCTTCCAACGACATCGACGTCTGCGCGTATTCCCCATCTAGTCGAATAGGCTGTACATGTGTGTTGTCGACCCACTCCGTTTTGTCTGCATGGTGAGAACAATAGCATCTCGTTGGACTGCATCCAGCGCCATGGAACGGTTGCTGAAGACGTGTGGCCCTAGTCGAATGTATGAGCCACGTAGCGACAGAGATTCGAAGGCCTTCTAGTCGAGGAATGGATGAACACATGCACGTAGCGGGCATGGTTTTGCACGTGGAAGCCGTCGAGCACCGCGCGCGTCAAGCACATCTCTGCATGGGCCGATGGTCGAGCCCTCGATAATAGCTGATGTGTTCTTGTATCGAGTCTTAGATTGACCCAATCAAAAGCGGTCGTGAAGTGATAAAGAACCAAACGACTGGTGATAAAATAAATTGGCCATTTGCTGACCACCAATCAAATTTGTCGTCTCGGCAGCAGATCCACACGAGCGATGGCCACCAAGAAGCTGAAGCCCGCCGCGTCTGCGGCTTCCGTTCCTGCCACTGCTGCGTCAAAGGATGACTCAGAGGATGCGGCATCGACCACTAGCACCTCCGCCACGTCAGACTCTCGCAACGCGTTCTTGAAGGTCTTTTGGGATCTGGCCGAATTGAACCCATCGACCCGCGTGGCCGCCGTCGAATCCATTGTGCAGCACCTGACCCAAGCAAACGATGCCGAGGAGATGTCGTACACATTGAAGCGTTTGATTCGTGGCCTTGCATCGTCTCGCGATGCCGCGCGCCAAGGTTTCAGCACAGCGCTGACGGCACTCCTGCACCACTTCCCCACCGCCGTCTCTGTCGAGTCGGTGCTGGACTTGCTCCAGTCGACAATGGACGTGTCTGCATCTATGAAAGGCATGGAGCAGCGGGACCACATGTTTGGGCGGCTCTTTGGACTCCTCGCCATCCACGCGTCGGGAAGGCTGGCTGGTGACGCCGACTTGATCGAGACCGTGTTGGACGAAGTCATTGTCTTGTCCAAGTGGAAAAAGTGGTTTCGAGAGGTGTGTTTCGAAGGGCTGCTCACGATTGTGGAATCGTTGACCCCCGCGACATTCATTTCAACGGCGTTGCCCAAGTTGGTAGCATTGTTGGCTGGCCCAGTCGCACAATTCAACGCCGACCAGGTTGGCCTCGCCGTCGGGCTTCACCAATACGTCCACACTCACGCCATTGCTACCGACGCAAGCGTTGTAGCCGTGCCGGCGATCACAACCATCCTGAGTCGACACCACTTGCACCACCTCGTCGATCCGCTCAAGTCGTCCACGTCCATCTACCCTCGCTTGCATTCGTCGTGGCGCCGCGTCGTGGCCCACTTTACGTCCTCGTCCAAGCTCGACGAAGAGCGTTTCCAGGAAATGTGGTCGGTGCTCGTCGAAGGCATGCTGGTGGCCCAAGGCTCGTCCCACGAACGACGGGGGACAGCGCTCAAACTGTTTGAAGCGCTCCTGCCATGCGTTCCTGGCCCGACATTGCGAGCAATTTTGACCCCGCACTTCGTCAAGTGCATTCACAACAACGCCGTGTCCAAGAAGACGTACCTCCACGAAGCCGCAGTGCACGTGCTTCAGACGTTCGTGGCGACGCAACCGATCGAGTTTTTCCACTTTCTACAGCATCATTTTTTGCACCCGTTGACGTGCTTGGTGTCGCATTTGCCCGACAACGACGACGATGCGGCCGACATGAAGAAGAAGGGCGGGTTCGAAGCACTGTTGGCGCTTGAAGAGGACAAGGAGCGCGCGGACTTCCAGGCGAAGCGCATCACGAGCGCCCGCATGTGGGCCCTGGACACGATGTACACCGCCACGCTGAAGTTGCCGGCAGCGACCACGTCGGACGCGGTGTGGAACGCAGCGCTTGGTTTCTTTCTCACGCATGCATTTTTTGAACCTGCTGCGGTGGCCAAAAAGGGCAAGAAGAAGGCGGCGGCGGGTGCCACCGCTGAGCCGTCGCCTGCGTTGAGCTCGACAGTGATCACGGCTCTCGGCAAGCGCGTGTTTGCCTTGCTCGGTCTGGGCAACCAGGTCCTCAAGGACACGACCGTGGCGCTCGACACGAGTGTTCCGTTTCGATTGTGGCAATTGTGGGGCGATTTTACAACGGAAGGCCGCTTGGCACTGAAGACGCCGCTGGCCACCGAACACGCGGCGCAGCGCACGGCGGTCGGCAAGCAGCTCAAGTCGCTCGTGGGCCAAGTGGCTGCCGCTACCGATAAGAAAGATGCCCTTCGCCTCAAGGGTTTCACATTACTCAGTGTGTGCGTGGGTCTGCAGCTGCTGGACCCTGCCCAGCGTGACGAAGCGTCGTCGGTGCTAGTGGATCTCGCGCGGTGCTTAACCGAACTGAACGCGCCGACAAAGAAAGCGGCCGGAAAGATGAAGGTCCCGGTGGGGGCAGACGACGACCACCAGCCCGTCGCTGTCTTGACCGACATGCTGCTCGCGATGCTGGCGCAAGAGTCGAGCGTGATGCGTGATGTTGTAAACCACGTGTTCCGGTCGATCATGGAGCAACTGGATGCGGCGAGTGTTCAAAGCATGGTTGACGTCGTTGTGAGCTCTGCAGACGACGAGCAATCGATGCTTGACATGGACGAGGAAGACGACGACGATGGCGCGCCCATCGACCCATCCAAGCTCACCAACGTTGCCGACGACCATGACGCGGACGACGAGGACATGGAAGATGAACAAAACGATGAAGACACGATCGCGTTGTCCGAGCTCCAGCGCGAAGACGCGGCGCTGTCGGCCATGGTCGGCCACGTTGCCGAGAAGAAGAAGGCCAAGCAACATGCCAAGCGGCTGCGCATGGCGGCGCTGCACTTCAAGGTCCGCGTATTGGATCTGCTCCAGGTGTACGCTAGCAGCGCGGGTGCCGTGCATGCCGTCGACATGATCGAGCCGTTGTTCAAGACGTGGACGGCGCTCAAGCCCCATAGCGACACATTGGTGTGGAGCGAACGAGTTGGCGCCGTCCTCCACAAGATTGCGCGCCGCACCAAGGAAGCCGCTACTTGCACGGACAAAGTCGTCGCCGCGTTGGAGGCAGTTCTTACGATTGCCAGCGCGACCATTTGTGACAAGAAGCAAGCCGCCGTTGCCGCCGCCCTCGTGACGTACCTCGTGCGTACGGGTCTGAAAGATGCCAAGACCCACAATGACCTGGACGCCTCGGCCGTCGCCACTATCCACGCTGCGGTCGTCCCGTCCATTTCGACGCTGCTGACCAAGAAACATGCCAAGCTTCCTCGTGTTGTGCTCGACCACCTTGTGCAAACCGTGCCCGTCATGGCTGGATCGTTCTTGTTTGAGTTGTTGTCGTCGCTGGTGGTCGACGACTCGAAGGCCGCGGACGACTTTGCCCGCGCTGAAGTTGTGCGGCACATGACGGCCCTCCTCAAGACGAAGAACGCGATCGCTGGGAACGTCCTGGCATCGTCCGGGCCAGCACTGCATAACGCGTTGTTGGAGAGCCTGAGCAAAGTCAAAGGCAAGCGCCTCAAGGGCGTCGCCAACTGCACGCAGGCGTTGCTGAAGGCCCGAGTTGACGCCAAGGACGACACGATCGATGCGATCGCGTTGGGAAAGGAACTCCAGGCTCTGCTTGTGGTGGAGGATGGCGCGACTCCGAGTCCCGTGTTGAAGGGCATGGTTGCCCAGATGCTACAAGTGCTGTCGGGCCCGACAAAGGGCGACAAGAAGAAGGCAGACAAGAAGCGAAAGCGGTCAAGTGATGCCAACGGAAATGCAACCAGTCAGGAGTAAACTATAGATTATGATGTGTCGATAACAACCAACCACCTACCCACGTCCATGTACCACGAGTCAATCATGTGTGCCAGATGATCTCCGTGGTGCATGCTGTAGAGTCGACGGGCGAGTGCGCGCGAGGGATCGAGCAGGACGGGAGACATCTAGGTTAGGTATTAATCTTGGGCGGTAGGAACGGCCTTGCGTTGCTCGACGTTGCCAAGAAGAGCACGGAGAGCTTCCACTTCCTTCTTGTCCTTTTCCACATTGTCGGTGGCGAGGTTGCCAACGAAGGCGCCGGCACCGATCAAGGCGAGGTGTTCCCACGGTTCTACACAATCATGCAGTGCGATGAGAATGGACGAAGACAGTGTAAAGTAGGACGTACGGCGCGATAGAGGGACCTTCTGCAAGGCGTTGACAAGAAGCTTCGTGCTAAGGCCGAGGGCCGCGCCCACCACGGTGCCGACAAACGTCATGTTGATGCTTGGACGGAGCGCTAAGGAACTACTGACTGGTGTTGTGCGCCACACAAAGCCGAAGTTTTCCACCAATCATCGCGCAAGGATTCAATTGAGATTTTTTGATTTTATTTATTCCATTTTGTATTGACAGTCTGTGAACAAAATTCGTGTTTTTAGGTTTTCTCCCCACGCAAGGCGCATCTCCATCGTCGGCAGCACTAGAGGCTGCCGACGCCTGAGATGGAGGATGCATGGATCTTCTTTGAACTGCGATAAGTTGAGGGCATGGCCATGACGCTTGGACTTCGTGGGGTGTTGGGCCAGATAGCTGAAGGAGAAAATCGATTTCGATTGTCGACTGGCATGGAACACGGTCGGCTTCGGTAAATTCGTGGGACCTCCCCATGCTTGCGCTTCAAAGGGGCACTGCATCGGGACAAGTCAGTGGATGGATTCATTGTAACTGGGAGGGCTTGCCGTCCACGGCAGCCCGTCATGATGCTGGGGTGAGGCTCACACCAGCAGGGGGATTTAGTTGCTGGGAACTGAAGATATCGCTGACAGTGTCTGTCCACTGAAGGCGAGGGAGTCAGTGTCGCCACCGATGAAGTGACCCCCCAATCCGTTGCGACTTTCATTGCTGCCGCCTGTAGGCAGTGTGCACGAGATAGCGCTTTCAAAACCTTGTCGCGCACCAACGAACCACCATCACAAAGATGTGTACTGGCATTGCCATTGTGCTCAAGGTGATTCCATGGCGCTCCGCCTTGCGGTATGACTAGCACTGGTTGTTTCGAACGGCTCGGAGCCGAAGAGGTCGCGCGGATCGTCGCCGTCCATGTGGATGCCGCCGGCGATGCGGCGTCGTTTGGTCGTCAAAATTCAATCGCTTGGATTGGACAGAAACATTCGAATTATGGCCTATCACAACAACGAATCTTGTGTCCAGCACCGACATTTTTGAGAAGTCCGCGACGGTCCAGAAAGGTCTGCGGAAATGGCAGATCAATGCTTCCTCGTCCCGGGCAAGACGTGCTGCTATGGGATAGTCATGAAGATGTCGCGATGTGACGTCACGAACACATATGCGGACTTGCATCGGGACGAATACACTGCATACGCCATCGTGTGCGGCGTCGTGGGGATTGCAGCGTTGGTCGGGTGTGTGCACAAGCTGTACTCGGTCCATCGATGCAAAGGTATGTCCGTGCTGTACTCATGCCGCGTCCTTATCGTCACATGGGAAGGTTCTCCGATTCAGAAGCAAGTGTATACTCTCCTCATCGTTGCGTCGGTCACATTTATTGCCCGCGCGGTGGACCCGATGTCCTACGACTTTATTTACCCCCCTGTCGTGAGTGGTTTGATTTCAGACGTGTGCACAGCGTCCCTCTACAGCGTTTTGTACGTCTTTGCCCACTGGCACCGAGCACATTTGTCATGATCGTTGCAGGATTCTGTCGGTAGCGTTTTGGGCACGGATTGTCATCCGTCCGACAGATCTGGAGAGTGCTGAAATCCCCATCCGCGCGTCAACGGCGCTGGGGCTGTTTCTCACGTGGTTTGTGTTTGCGTGTGTCCGCCCGTTGTACCTCCTCCCGACATGGGACGACGACGCTGCCCCCGAGCGCATATACCGGTCGTGGCACATTCTCATTCAATATTCCATGGCACCAGTGCTTCTCTTCCTCATATCTACCCTTGCCGTCATATTTGGCATTCGAATCCACCGCCGTCTGAAATCCATCCGAGAAATGCATGAGCGGTCAGCTGCCATCGCGTCGCTGCGCGAGCATGCCCTCAAGGCCAACCCGACGGTCGTCCGGTCCGAGAGTGCCGACGAATTGCCGCCACGAGTCCTATTCACTTCATCCTCCAGCAGCATGGAAGATCGATTCGTCCTGACACGCGATTCCCGCATTCTCAAAGTGCTCGTCTTGATGGCCATCTTGTCCGCGGTCGTCATCGTTGCTCAGGTAACGATTGCATGAATCTGCAGCTTGGCATGGCACTCATTGCATGGTCAAAACCAGATCTACGTTTTGGTGGACTTTGTCGAACGCGGATGCATGCTCCAACGCGAGTACAATTGCTCGTCCCTGCAAGCACCATCCCAAGGCAAACCCACGGGTGGGTCCGTCGGAGACCGAGTGTGCGAGTTACCATTTCCATTTCCCATGCTGCCGCTCACGCAGGTACAACTTGTGGCGTCCAGTCGTTCAAGTTCACACGACGCCCTTGTTGTAGATACTGGGTATCGTTGTCATGTACTGGAGCTTTCGCAAGACTCGGCCGCTAACGAAGGAAGCCGTGACAGAAGAGATATTTCTCAACCCGACGAATATTCAAGTGGACCATGGCGCAGCCCGAACGACGTCGGCTTTGTCCCTCGTGTCGTCGGCGTCTGGTCGCTTCGTTTGATCAGTTTTTCCATGGACAAGAGCTCCAAGTGCCTTGAGCCAACCACCATGCATGAGAAGAGATGGCATTTGTTGAAAATATTATTAAAATTTTGTCCTTGTCCTCCTCCTTCACGATTTCTAGGGGCTAGTAAATGCCTGCAGTGAACACCGGAAAATGCCGACACCCTGCCACCCACACCGACCCTACGGCCTCTCCCCCGCGCCCTGACACCCCTGCCTCTCCTTCCCTTCTCTCGCCCGTCTCAACATTCAACCCCGACTCGGACGATGACACCCCTCTGCCCGCCCTGCGTCCCCCGCCAGCCCAACCATTGTACCAGCTGCGACCGCTACTCCACCCAACGTCGACGACCACGATATAGCTTCGGGGGACTCTGGTTCTGACTCCGCTGGTTCGGTAACGGCCATCAGTTCTGACACGGACGACCCCGATGCCACGACTACAACTTCAGGCACCCGCACTTCGACCCCTACTCTGCCCCCAGCAAACAATGTCCGCGCTGTGATTCCAAACCCGCGCCGCCCCAACAACTAGCGACCGGCGTTCACGCACCACTGCCACGAATGCCAAAGTTGCAGCAAATCCTACGCTGCAACGCATTCACGGCCTCATGGACAAGCAAGCAAACCCCGACCAACCCTACGAAACGTGGTATCTCGTCCAATGGCTCCACCCCTCTGATGAGTCACGAATCGCGAGGGTGTATTCGAAGGCTACCTCGAAAGCTCCTCGCTGGGTGCCGCCAAAGCCCTACTGGAAAAGTACCTGGCACTCCCTGCCAAGGAACGCAGCGGCGAGGGTGCTGGCGACTTCATGAAGTAGCGCCGCACCAACCGCACTTGGCTCAAGATCGTCGCCAACACCGGCAACACGTGCCTGGTTGCTGCCCTAGAACAAGCTTGCGACCTTCTTTGGCTACCCTTTGCATTCACTGCCGACGACATGCTTGCGTACATGCAGACGGAAGACATTGCCCCTACCTCGGCTGTCCCCCG